TAGGGGACAACCCTTTATATTCTGGTAGGGGGGATATTCTGGCTGGACTTTGTATCGGGATTATTATTATTTCAGCTACAACTACAAAACAAGATATTATGTTATTTTAAACTATGAGCCTGAATAATATTTTAAAGATAAATACCTTGAAACAATGTATTTTTTGTGGCAGGCAATTCTTTTTTCTTCAACAGTCTGAAGCTGATTACTGATAGAAAGAAATATGGAAACATATCAAGTGTCATTTCCGCTACACACTGTTATACACTAAACACTATTATCACACTGTACATACTGTTATACACAAAATGATCATTTCCACTACACACTGTTATACACTAAACACTATTATTTCACTATACATACTGTTATACACAAAATGATCATTTACACAACACATTGTTATACACTCAACACTATTATTACACTATACATACTGTTATACACAAAACGTTTATTTACACAACACATTGTTATATATTAAACACTATTATTACACTATACATACTGTTATACACAAAATGTTCATTTCCACTACACACTGTTATACACTAACCAGTATTATTACACTATGCATACTGTTATGGAAACATATTTGAAGGGAAGCCTTTGATTACAAAAATATGCCGCATATACCACCAGGATGACAGGTTGTTCCAGTGTACATCGATATTGAGTATTACTGCCACACCAGATATAAAAACCAAACTTCAGCCAGTTTTGTTTTCGTTGGTGATAAGCTCTTATAATACACACAAAGGGAAGCCGGGACGTTTCAACTGATAAGTGTTCTTTTATTTGGGTTCATCATTATTTATAAGCGGTTATATCATAAAATTAAGCTGGTAGACTGCTTGTTGTTTAGGATGCTTTCATGTAGAATTCAATGCACTTGACCTTAAGTAACCACGGGGTATGCTAACACTGTGTGTATGCTCATGGACAAGTCTACAGATAACGAACCTTGACACAGTGTAGGAGCTATCTGGTTACAATTTCCGATAACGGTGGACTTTGGTCAGTCGTTGTTCCCACACACCAACAATCCAGAATTAATTTTACCCCTGATATGAAAAATACATTCAACGTGTCGTATTCTATATGCATGTTTTTGTATTCATTGAGAGGTGCATGAAGTCTTCATTAGTCGTCAGTAAACAAGTAAACATGTATGACATCCGCTGTCCGTCTGTCAGTCACAGAGTGTTATATACATATTAATTGGTGCATGGTTGCTTCATGTTAAAATCTAAGTTGGAAGGTGGTGTACATGAATCAGCTAGAATTACCTTCTCACGCGAACCATTTGATCGTACCGTACCATCGCCCATACTCTGATGTCAGCTGAAAGCAGTACTGTCATGTGTTGCTAATGCATGGTAATATAAGTTGATAAATATATGTGGAGGTAATATTGGGTGTTCGTGACTTAACGCGTGAAACAAGTGCACGTGAGTTGTTTCTGGTCCAAATGAAGAAACTATACACCAGACGGAATGTGTATACTTGTGCGTCGTGATACTCTGATAAATGTTACTGTTTACCACACACTATTAAACACGAAGCTATATAAAACACCGCACACGGTTCTACGGTTTTACGCTACACAGTTTAAAAAGTAAACAATATTATACAAGACATAGTTATTTTAGTATAAAACGTTATGAAACAGAGACTATCATACACCACACATCATAATACTACACACGATCATACACTACACAATATTATATACTACACACTATTATATACTACACACTATTATATACTACACGATTATATACTACACAATGATATACACTACTGTTGGCTGTCTGTTGCCCGAACACAAATACACACTATTATATAATACACACTGTTATATACTACACACTATTATATACTACACATTATCATACACTTCACACTATCATATACTACACACTATTGTATACTACACTCTCATACACAACACACTATTATATACTACACACTATTGTATACTACACTTTCATACACAACACCATATTATCTACTACACACTATTATATACTACACACTATTATGCACTACACACCATAAAAGACTCATTGTTATAATGGATACATTGTTTTTCAGCACAATATTATATACCACACACTATTATACTCTACAAACTATTATACACTAAACACTATTATTACACAATGCATACTTTTATACACAAAATGGTCTAATAAACTACACAATATTATACACTAAACACTATTGTACACTATAAGCACTGTTATAAATTACACATTATTATACACTATACACTATACACTGTTATACTCACTTTACACACCATACCCACTGTTACACAGAACACACTATAATACATTGTGGTACACTAAACACTATTGTACACTATTACGGAATCACATACTTTTAAATACTACACACTTTTATACAAACTACACACTATTATTACACGCAGTCATGGTGCAATGCTAAAACGAACGTTGATGGTTTCATAAAGTCCACTCACTCTATATATCAACACGACGGAAACCGTCGGTATTCGTAAATCCCGTTGTCGCGGTGACGTCATTTTAGCTTTGACGTCATGACATGAAAAGATGTGGCTTGTTCGTCTTTTGTCTCCCCCTCTTTGCCATGATGTCAGCTATCATGCATCCGTCGCTGTCCCTGTGTGAGTTATTTTAAGGGTTAGGACGGTGTCCTGTATATAAGTTCTATTTTTTCATATCCAATGTAAGATTTAATATACATCCGGAATATACAGCCCTTGCATGTCCATATAAGTTACCATGGCATCGTTAGCGTCATTTACGTTGGTGTAATTCAGATAATTAATGATAGAAAAACATATGGTAACATATTTGAAGGGAAGCCTTTCATTAAAAAAATATCCCGCATATACATCCAGAATGACAGGTTGTTCCAGTATACATAATGTACTGCATCAGGCGTCCGTCGCTGTCCCTGTGTGAGTTATTTTAAGCGTTAGGACGGTGACCTGTATATAAGTTCTAACTCTTTATATCCACTGTAAGATTTAATCACAAGACCATGTAACTAATAATAATAAACAAACTCGCAAAAAAACCTCGTCTGCGAGTTTGTTATTATTATTAGCTACATGGTCCTGTGATTTAATATACATCTCAAATATCAAGCCTTTGTATATCCATATTTCCCTGGACCGATTCGTTACCATGGCTTCGTTTGGGAAGTGACGGTACCATATACTCTCTTATCAGTATTATACAAGACGTTATATAGACTGCCTGTCTTTACACGTGGTCTCTTATTATGCCTCCCTCAGTGCAAAGTTAAAGTCAAGCATATGCAGTTACACATCTGTGGAATCAATAAGATTTGAATCTCTCATACAGACCCTGAAACAAATATATCCAATACAGCCCATGCAAGTCTGCAAGTCTTTAATGTTTGGCAAGTCTAGATTACTGCAGTATCTGAATATGAAGAAGTCTCTTGGCTCCTTTTTATTATATTTTATAACTCTAATTTAACAACTGTTTTTTTCTGTAAAATATGTTCATTTCAGAGACTAACCAGTGCCGTAGCCAGCCGGGGGGAGGGGGGGGGAGGAGAGAGAGAGAGTTGCCCCTCCTTTTTTATAGAAAACAGTTTTATTTGAATCAAGTTGGGGACAAGTGAAACTTGTACAAATATTTGCCCCCCCCCCCCCCCCCCCCCCCCCCTGCTAACTAACTGTTACTCTAACTCCACATATTGACATATGTTCTCTTAATTCCGTCGCTCAGTACATACAAAGTAAAAGTCACACATCAACATACAGAGTTAGTCTTGCGAAATCAACATCCCAACAACACTGCCGTCGGGCTGACCCAGTTTCTTACAGAATTAATCAACCGGGTATTTACTGTGTGATGTTGGCTGTCTGTTGCCCGAACACAAATAGCATTAATTGTAACAGGACAATATGCCAGTTCACATCCGATAATTAAGAAAGTTCGGGCATGGTGTCCTAAGTATAATGATTGTGACGAACGCATAAAATAATAATTATGCAAATTAATTAAATAAAAACAACCATTTGTAAAAAATGGACGTTTAATTGGAACAGTTTATATAGAACCAAAGTGGAAGGTTATATGCAGGTGTATATCGTTGTATGATAAAGGCATACTTAATATATCATGACGTCGTGATATGAATAATTTATGACATGGTCAGCCAGTTGATTGTACTAAGTGTTAGTGTCGTGTCTCGTCTTGCATGTAAACAAACACACAGTTAACCAACGTGAGTCTTAAATTGTGATTGTGATTGGTATAGAAAAACTTAATAACAACTAAAGAATAATCATGGTCTACGTGCTCGAAATAAATTTGTTTGAAAAATAACCTCTGCGTACGTGAAATCATAAAACATTTATATATGTGCCTTGTTCATAGTATTGATAAAATGTTATTTGTTGATTTCTAAATTTTTAAATCATGTTTTGTTTGCTTTTCTTATGTTTCAATTTTTAATGTTAAAAATGTTAGACAACATCCCCATTTAATGATGTCGATGTAATTTGCAAATTATAAGGCCGTTTTTGTTCGTATTTTGGAACAGTGGAATACATTGCATCATCAAAACAAACGGGAGCGAGCAGCTGCGTGAATTAATTTCTTCCCACTACGGTTCTCGTTGGGTGGAATTCAGGTCATGGCTTGTAATGTAAACCAGTCTAAAATGGTAGCTGATTTGGAAACAAGTATGGGCTAGCAAAGTTGCATTCCAAGCACGCAGTCATGGATATCGCTTTGGCATATTCGTCCATTCGAGGTGACCTGCCAAGCCAACTCGCATTTTATTGGTCAGGAGTTCTAAATTAATCATCGTAAACCTCCGTCTAAGCAACGGAAACAAACGACTACTAATTACACTTACTTTCGGAGTATGCACGGCTTTTGATTGGTCGAGCGAGAGGTTAATGCTCCCAACGAACCCCTTTTATTGGCTGTCCATCACGTCATGGGAACAGTTATTCCACGCTCTGACGTCACGGTAAATTTACAAACAAACAAGATGGCCGAGAGTGCAGACGCTCCACGTCAAGTTCTTCGCGACGAAAACGAAGACAAAGAAAACATGTCATCTTTTGAGCCACAACTCAAGAAACAAAAGTTGTCAGATCATTGTTTATCTATAGGTTACAAGCTCGAAGATCGTCTCAGTGGCATCCTGTGCTGTGCTGTATGTTTGGATCTGCCCAGGACTTGCTACCAGGTAGTTTGGGGGATGGGCTCAGCTTGTCAAAATGTTCAGCTCCTTTAATGTAACCAGCTTGCTTAACTGGTCGTAGCATACTTTGAATGTCACTGAGGATAAATCACGGGTGAAGTCGTGAAAAGCAGTCTTTGGTGGTTGGGGAGTAAAGGTCAAAGTTATTTCCGGAGTCTCGTATCTGTCAGCTGAGAATTTGTTTACTAAATGCACACAGCTGACCAGAAGAAAAACAATGCACTTTTTGAGGAATTCAGTCTTATACCAGTTCGTTGAAGTGCATTTTTACAGAAATTTTATGGGAAGAACGAATTACGAGTTTTCTGTGCTGCTAGATCAATAGAATCTGGAAATTGTCGATTAGGAAATACCCAAGATCGCTCTGCCCTCTGCCAAGTGCAGTGAATCACGTGATGGAGACGTGTCATCTGAGCAGTGCTATTTTGGGATGCTAGCCAATGATAATTCTGGCATATTTCCAGATCCATTAATATTAACAAAAGCTAATGACCATGTTAATTGCGTTATGAAACAACCAAGCGAACTATAGGTGTGCGCATTATTCACTCTAGTTCGAGGCCTTTGCTTTTATATCAGACTTGTGCAAATTATAAGATGGTTCGAGGGTGTGTGTTGGGCCAGGTACCGCTATGCCTATGTCATGGTGATTTATGCATTGTCATCCAAATATGTTTAGTGCAAATGTTTGTTGTCTTTTACAACAATTTTTTTTTTCCAATTACACATACATTATAGATCTATAATTATGCATTAATTAGTGAAATAACTGATTACACTGGATGGAGTATTATGGATATACTTATATAATATTCAGAACTGGGTATGAGCAAATAATTTAACCATATATGTATTTGTCATGACCTGTGTGTAAATATTATAGTCACGTCATGATTTGTTTGTAGATATATTTGTACACAGGACACTGGAGTTGACTGTTGTTGCACTGTATCTGATACTCTGCCAGACCTAAAGGAAAATTATCTAAATTAATTAGATACTATTTCACAATAAGGCACACAGGTACAAAATTTACCAATGCATACTATAATACTTTCATGGGATACTGTTTGTTATAAAAAAGAAGAAGCTACATTTATTTTCCTGGTAGCCAAAGGAATATTTTAGGGCCTACTCTGACAAGGAATCAAATCAAAAATGAATTGTAACAATGTAAATCAGAGTGAAGTAGCATTTTAAGTCCTCTAATCAAAACATCACTGGATCACGAGAGACGGTGCAGGTGGTGCGCACCCTCCTTTTTGCAGTCACCAGTCTCTCTGTCACATGTGTGTTCCCTTGGTTACCTTGTGCACCCCCTTTTTAAACACGGCCCACTTGCACAAAGCGATCTTAGTGCTAAGACTGTAGTAAGCCTATGTTAAAGTATGGGAGTTACGATCATCTTAGCGCTAAGATCACTTTGTGAAAGTGGGCCCTGGATCTGCCTCTGACTAATTGATACAGGGCTGGTATTGATGACGTGATGCAACAATGTTTATTTCAAATTAATGCAGTTAATAAGGATGACATAAATTCAACCTGTACACCTAAACATGATTAATAATTAATGAAAATGTTTCTACTTTCAGTGCACAAATGGACATCTAATGTGTGCAGGATGTTTCAACCATCTCCTAGCTGATGCACGTCTCAAAGATGAAACAGCAACTTGCCCCAACTGCCGATGTGAAATCTCCAAGAATCTCTGCACAAGAAATCTTGCTGTTGAGAAAGCCGCATCAGAACTTCCCACAGAATGCCAGTACTGCAACCAGAAGCTGCCTCGCAACATCCTTGACCATCATGAGAGGGAGTTGTGTGCGGAAAGGTAAGCGGGCTTAGGTAGGGTAAGCGTCCTAACCGTAAGGTTAGGCTAGAACTAATCTGCCCTTTTCTCCACAGGTTCACCTTAGCTTAGCCCAGCAAGCAACTGCATGTGTGAGGGGGACACACATACAGTTCCTTGCCTTGTTGGTTAGGTTTATGTTAACATGTTTTAACCAGAACCACACGTTTTCTATTTTCTGTCATTTAACCAGGAATGGAGTTGTTCAGCCATGGTCTCATAAGCGGAAGATTTAGCAGCGCCTAGGTTGTTGGAGTTGAGCAACAGTACTTCAACTGTTGAGGCGGCAAGTATTTTATGTCTCTTAACATGCTGCAGTAGCATGCCCAGGTTGTACAGTATGTATGTATGTTGTGGTAATGACAGTACAATTATGGCATAAATTGTGTTTGTGCAGATTTATCTCTTTGTTCTCTTCTTCATTTTCTTCTCTTTTTACCAAAATTCAAAATTGTTAGCCATATGGAGCATCTGGAATATTTGCAAACAAAAATCAGTTTGAATTGTTACGATGGGTTGCTCTTCTGGATTTGTAATTTTTTTTTTCTATTGAAATATACATAGTGGGGATATAGCTAACTAATTAGCGTTAAAGAAATGAAAATGCACTCCAAAGAGTACTCCATCAATTTTGTTTTCAAATGTTCACTTTTTGGAATGTTTGATTCCTGTATAAAATGTATTGTAGAATGGTTGAATACATTTCTGATAAGATGTTATCAGACTGCGTGGAGGCTATTCATATGTTCACCAACTGCAGTTGTGAAATCAAAGTACGCAGTGGAAACTATGAGTTCACCACCCCAGTTTCGACACATCAATATTTGTGCTATACCAGTGCTCCAAACTGAAAGCCCTTTCAACTCTATTCCAGTGAATGCTGAGTCTTTGTTTTTGGCCCAAACAATGTTCTGACTTTTTGGACGATTTTGTTCCTTTACCATTTCTGTCTTAGATAGGAGCAGTATTTAACAAGTTTTGATTCATTTGGTCACTCACAATGGATGATTTGTGATGAAGAAAAGAAAAATAGCCCAAAATGGTTTGGTTAGTAGCTAGTATCACAATAAGTTCAGAATGATGTTAAACAAGGGCAGTTTTTTTCAGGTAAGAGTAACAGGTCCATTTTACCCTCATTTAGTTACAGTTTCTGCAACGTCTGAAGCCAAATGTAGGAAAAGGAAAGCATTAGTAGAATTGTATTAGATATTTTCATGTGAGACATTTTCAGGTTCAAGGCTTTGAGAGACAACCCAGGTTCAAGTAATTGTAAGTATGGTCATGGCCGTAACGATCGCAAATTTTACAGGATTTTGTTACTAGTAGTATATCTTCCATTCTTATCTTCCACAGGCCCACTGCTTGCAAATATGCCAAGATTGGGTGCCCGTGGCTAGGTCCCTACCACGAGGGGAGGGAGCATGAAACATCGTGTGCCCACCCAAAGAAGAGCGGGAGTGAGGTTCTAGAGGCGCTCAAAGTCCTGGACTTGAAACAGCTGGAAGAGAAACAGCTCTACAGTAAAATATTCTCACTGTTGTCACTGGAGAAGATCACTTTCAATGGTAGGACTTTGTGTATATTATGACATTGTAGTCTTTGTGCCAAGATATTCTTAAAACATACGTTACTCCATACCCATGCTCATGGGTTTCACTGAAGTTGTGAGCATCTTAGAAATGCAAAAGTACAGGCTTACCTTGCACATTATGCATACATTAACTGAAATACAAAGCAGAGTTCAAACCCATCTCAGTCACTCCATCATGTAAACCTCTCTGATAAAGACAGTATTGGTATCTTGTGAAAATAATGTAAATCCAATGTTCTGTACAAATTCAATGTATCTAATATGACCATACATTAACAGTAAGCAGTCTTTCATCACAGTTTATTTACAAATTTATTTCTGTTTCGATAAGATTTGCTGTTGGTTTGTTCAAATCAGAATCTACTGAAAGTGGGAATCGGGCTTTGACATGGACTATGTAAAGTTTCTGTTTATTCTTAGAGTAGTTCTTTGATAAGAAAGGAAGATAATGGCAATGTTTTGTAATGTAGTGCTCTGTATTTTTGTTAATTTTCTGCTTCGTCTTCACTATGCAGACCTGCAGTTGAAACCCTACAGAACTGATGACTTCATCACCAAGTTGTTCTATGAAACAAGTCGCTTCTCAGCTTTCAACCAGCAGTGGGTGATCAAAGCTCACGTCAACAGTGACCACAAAAACCCAACTCAGGCATGTCAGCGCAAGCTTGTGTACCAGCTCGTCCTGAAGAGCCGCATCAGCAGTCCGTTGCGTCTGCACTTCTTGGCCCTGAAAGGTCCGTATGGTGACATGAAAGTGAACCCAGCCATATATGAGCATGAGTTCACGAGCGACAGCACCGAGACAGAAGTGAAACATTTTCCTATCACAGACTCTACTGAATGCAACAAACTCCTGGCCACCAGGACCATCAATTTCAGGATCATTATGTTCCAGGTCTCCTAGAATCAAGCTCATCTCCATCTTTGCCGTCATGTTTTCTCTTGTGCTTCAATTCTACAACAGTCATAATTGTTAAATAGATAGCAGGTTTAGTGAGTGGCGGCCTCACACTGACAGTTGCTGGAGGAAGAGTGTGTGCAGGCATCACACAGAAACAGGCAGTTAGTTGACAACTTGGACCTGGGTATGGATTTGTTCAGAGACAGTTGCTGACAGACTTCTCTTTTGTGTTCTTTAGGGTTTGTGTGAACTGTGTAGAACTGTCAGTGTGAGAAGGCCTGTATTGTATTGACTGATACTTATTGTAAAGATCTTCTAAAGATGAGACCCAAGTGACTTGAATTTGAAATTGATGATATATAATTTTAGACAGAATTGTAGATATTGATTTTAATCCAAAGAGCCTGTTGTTCTTAAATTAGTTTGTCAACACTCATCCTGAAAGTAACATTTTTTCTGGCTTCATGCTTCTTGAATATCAATCACTGGATTGTCTGGTCCAGACTTGATTATTTTCAGACCGCCATCATATAGCTGGAATTTTGCTGAGTGTGGCGTAAATCAACTAACCAACCAACCAAATCCTAAAATGTCTTGTTGCTTTGACAAAATAAGTCCTTGGGTTTATCTTGGGAGGATCTTGCAGTTGGTTATCATTGTACATGAAGGGCGAGAAAAGTTAATACTTAACTGACAAGTATTTTGTACTATTTGTCTCTGTAGTCTTAGCTGTAGAATTGTTTAGATTTTAAGACCTACTTGCTTATCACAGGTGAACTGTGAATGTTTGAAAAATCATGTTTTTTTATCAGTATTTTATATTTGCGCTTGTTGATACATTGTTAATTATTTGATGATATCAATTTCTTTTTACTTTCCTTCTATTTGTTAAGTGATGTAAAAGGAATTTCAGATTTTTTGTTTAAGCTATGAGAAATACAGCATTAGTCAGCTCTAGATAAGCAGATAACATTATCCAGTGTAGATCACAAAATTATTACTATTGAATTTGAAAGGTATGAATATGAGTATGGTCATTGTTTTACCACAACTTTCTTTCAATATTCTTCATTGTTTGTTATGTAATTGGAGATATTAATCTCTTAATTTTATTTATTAAAGGTAAGGTAATAGTCAATTTCAATATACTCAATCCAATGTACATCCTATGTTTACTATTGCTAGTCATTTTCTATAGACTTCTGTAGGTGTAGACAATGTATATCAGAACACAACCTGTAGGATAGACGTAACTCATTATGGTCAATGATTGTATGGATTTGGAAAGCTAATCATCATTGAGAGTTTTGCTAAGAGACAAGGATTAGGATTTGTGTCTGACTTTCTTTTTCACTCGACATACTTCTCTTATGATTATTCTACAAACTATAGCACATTGTTTATTTTTTACATTATTTTTTTGATTAACACAAAGGTATTGTGTATTCTCAGAATAGGTTATGAAGAGTTGCATTGTTTCGTACATGGATGCAAAACCTTTTTCTCTGTACACGCATAATCTCTTGTGCATGGGTGGTAACTAAAATTTGGTTTTGAAGGACTGATGTCTTGATGCATACACATTGCACTGTTTATAAATGAATACCAATTTAACAAAAGTTATGGCAAGAAATTGTATTTATTTGTTACTGATTTGTACATTTTTGGCAGTTTGGTTATGGGTAACCTTACATCAGCATTTAACTGGTTTTATGATTCTAAAATACACATTTGTCATAGATTACATTTACAGAAGTACCTCAACTTTTCTGCTTATTGAAGATAGATATATGAACGTGGGCATTCTTCTAAGTGTCTGTACATAACACTGTCTTTGTCATTGACATTGTAAATAGACGTTTGTTATAAGGATATTCCAATGTATGTGGAGCATACATATGTCAAGTCAATTGTAGGCACAGTGATGTTTAAAGCAAGCAAGTCAGTGAATTTGTAATAATACCTGGTGCTAGTGATATGATACATTATTCAAAGTACATTGTTAATGGTAGCATACAATTTGTGGTGGTTTATTAACGAAGTACATTATATTTTTTAACTTATTCTGCATTACTCATAAAGGGTTAGGCAGGAGAAGTATACAAATATAAAAAATATCTAGGATTTTACTAGTTTTGATATTGTCATAATTTGTATGAAGGTACAGTATGTGAAATATGATGTGCTGCTGTGAATATTATAATTTCCTGTATTAGATTTACCCTGAAGTGTCAATCAGTTTATATCCTGCTCAGAAAGCTCTGTGCTTTATAAAAGTCTCACTATAAAAGTTTCATGGCAATATTTGCTTGTATTTTCAACTTATGCTAATTGGACGTTTGACCAAACTTTCTGAAAATATCTTTGTTAATTTGAAGTAAATTGTTATGAAGGGAACATAATTCATTTTATCATAGAACAATGATAATTTTTTTTACCAGGTATGAGATAAAAAAAACTGTCACAGAAAGTTTAAAATTGGCCAATGTCATTAAAATTAGATTTCAGTGCTTGCTATTGCTACTTTGTAGTACTGAGATCTGATTTTAGTGAGATTGGTCAAATAGCTGTCAAAGGGTCAAACTCAATACTAATTTCGATTTAATTTAGATAAATTTGCTCATTATTTGTAACACCGACTTTATTGCTCAGACAACTTTATCACACATACAATAATCCAACTGTCTTATTTTATCATCATTGACAATAGTTTTGAAGAAAACATGTTGATTTTAATAGTAATTTAAGATGAAAACAATGGGGCCTTTTGTAATATATATGTATATTGTAAATTCAGATGTTATTTAATTATTTTATTCAATCAATTCCATATTGTGATACTCTCACGTTTACTATTTAAGACCTGTAGTATGTAGATAATATCACAGTAAACACTGGACTCTACTTCCAAAACTGTTATATTTGGCTTTTACACATGTTAAAGGTTATAATATTCCATAAGGGATTAATGATAATCATACTTGTTTTAGAGTTATGTATGATGTAAATATCATGTTAATTTCAGTGTTTGATACATTTATGTGATATATATATATATACTCATGTACCATACTTCATTTAGTCTGTGAAGAGTTATCTTCCTTTGATTACCGTAGTCATAAACTTGTGACATAGCTCTCAATCATTACTTTTAAGCAGAAACTGTATTTTAGATTCTATGGACTCCATCTAACAGATACTAACATGTTAGGCCATTCTTCTTGTTACTTGCAGATCATGAGCTAGTCAAAATATCCAATAAAAATTAATGATGTACTCAAATGTACTTACCTCACCCTTTACATGATTTGATGATCTTTAGAATCCTCATTACAATTTTCAAATGATTTAATCATAATACATGCAACAACTTTAAATTTTGTTTCACTAGTCTATTTCCTTATTATCCAAGTAACTGAAAAGTTTGGCCTTATAACGGTTTGATCTCTTAATACTTTGTTTTTGCACATTTACCTTAGCACTTGTCCAGAACTTTATATTCTTTCTATTTCATGTACTTCTGTCAAGTTACGAAAAGAAAAATGTATTTCAGAAATCACATAGCTGCAGTGGTGGGTGTTTCTGGGGTCCTTCATCAATCCTGTTTCAGAGGACATTAGGAGCACTTGTAGGACCATCTGCTAGCTTTTGTCTTTCTTGTTTTACAGTATTTATCACCAGACTTAGTGTAATTTATCCTAGAAGGGGAGGCATGGAGTTGGCCGGTTCAGGTGCTGCAGGTTTTGATGATGTATACTCATATGTAAGTGGTAAGTGAAACGATACAGGACAAAATGATTTGTAGATTATGCAGACTTGAATGTTTTACATCAGAAACGAAGACAAGCTTGTTTTTGTGTTTGTGTCATGCAGTGATGCCTTCTCTTGTCAATTCTTGCTCTTCCTCGATCAGAATAAAGGTTTTTTCAGTTATGTGTCTATGCTGTCTTATCATTTAACACTGTAATGTTATACATAATTGGGAGTGCATTGAAGCTGATCATTACATTCCACATTATGATCAAATTACAACATGTTTTGAATATTGGGTGAGTGTGGGTTTACGTTGTGTTTAGTATTCCAGCAAAATCAATGCTGTGGACTTAACACATTGTAGCCATGGCGGAAATCAACCCTGTGTGGTCAGAATGTGCTTTAACCACTGGGCTTGACTTGAACAATTGGCATGTTAAGAGAAAATATAACCTGTAATAGTTTGTGACAAGACATGTCAAATACTTTTACCATTAACAGGAAGCACAGCTTCAACCATGGAGTGGATTCCTCTTTCATAGCACTGGAAGTAATCTACACTGTTGTGGCTATACAATTTCAATACTCGCAACGTGCTCCCGTAGCAAGTGCCTGTAGTCAGTACAGTGCTGAGGTCACAAAGCAGATAACTCCAGAAAGTCTTTGGGGCTTCTTTACTGCTTGACACAGAAACACAGATTTGACAAAAACACGGAAGTGTGATTTTTAAAAGGAAGGCTGCACATGGCACCAAATCCCAAAGTTTTGTTTTTTATTCATTTTTATGTTGTACCGGTATATGCTTTTTGTACAAAGGAACTAGATCTGGTGGTCAGGCTTGGGGACTTGCTTGATAGTGTCAGTGTACCCCAGTTACTCACTGGTTTTTCTGGTCCAGGCTCAAATAGCTCCAGCGTCATATAGCTGGAATTTTGCAGAGTGCAGTGTTAAGCAACAAAGAATGTTTATGAGAGTAAATGAACTGATGCTATGTGGAATTCAGTAGTCATAGGTTGCCAGACTTTGTTTCTCCTAGTGCCCACGAAGGACTTGTGATCTGTGTCAATCCCTTAAGTCCCCTGTGGGAATTCTGGATCAGGATAGGCCCCAGTACATCATACATGTAAGACATGAGTACATCCCTCTGGATAGCAATAACATTGTGATAATGAATCATGTCAATGCTTCTATGACATCTAAAAACTGACCTTGTTAGTCTGAGGAGAAAAATTATGAAAAGCTTTTCTGAAAAATATTAAAATGCAAAATTTAACGGATGCTATCTGCATGTTGTCAAACTGGCGAAATGATACTTGTCAAAGAAAGTATTCATACACAGGATCTGGAAGATAACCGAGCTTCAAATCAAATTTAACAACCCAATCCAACTATTCCAACAGTCCCATCTGTTTTCATTGGGCAGAAATAATGCAGCAAGCCTTTCTATACTTGAAGTACCTAAAACTAATTAATCAATAACAAAAACTCCTCGTTTTTGTACACTTCAAAAATATTTATTTCATTACATAACCATATTATAAAAAAAAGAAGTATATGATATATCAAGTTATATACAACATTTGCACCAAACAACAGGTCAGTAACAGCAGATAATGTTATGAAGTATTATCATCCTATGTCAAACTGACATATTAGAATCATATCAAATGTATAGATAATAAGGTCCACCTGCAGGAAGATATATCAAATATCTTTTACCGATGACTTTTAACATAGTTCACATGAACACTTACAGAAAATATTTCAAGGGAGAGTGTTTCAATATTTTCTCTGAAATCTTGTACCAAGGCAGTTGACTATGTTAGACATGGGGTTGAAGTCAAGTTCCTAGTTTCTTTAGTACACTCAGCCATAGCTTTAGCTAACAATATGAATTGTGCTGAAAATTATATATCAATCCATCTTTTGCTCCTGTTTGAACATCTAAGGACACCTCCAGTCAAGGTTATGTCATTTGAACTATCCAATCAGCTGATCAGGTGTGTGAACACAGCATTCAGACAAGCATATCTGAATTCTGTATCTCGCAATCAAATATAATTGGAGAGTTCTGAATGCAAAACATATAAATTAAATCTTGAAATTAATGCACGCGTGAATTAAATGCGAAAAATGCGAGTGGTCTTTGTTCGCATTAATGAAACTTCGCATTTATGTCTCAAAAATGACTATCAACAATCTGCATACTTTGGTTAGCGGAAATACCAACTTGAATATATACACAAACACAGTTTATTGAGCAGTTGTAACAAGTACACAATGTGAATTAAAGACTGGGGGAGTCGCACTGATTTTGAGTCGCATTTTTGGCTAGGGGTCAGCAGCATTAATTACAAGATTCACAGTATCTGCGCTATCATATAGTGGATATTTTATACATCCTTTTATTTCCGACCACCCAACAGGTTGTACTATCAAGGTCTATGTGTTTTCTGCCGATTCCCTTTGCCTTGACAGAGATTTCTGAATTAAGGTGGTAAAGAAATGAACCCGAATCATTTTAGAAAGCTGAGTTTTGATTGGCTCATCCTTCATTAGATTGGGTGGTAAAAGATGGCTCCAGGTCATCTGACCTGACCTACAGGTTTTTTTATTAGATCTTCATGAAGAGATGTATCATATTAGTGTAAAAGATTTGATTTCAATGAGGTTGTAGCTATAGTTTGTATCTATCAATATCAACCAAAATCACTAGACGCCATCACTGGCATCAAAAGCAGTACCAGTAATTACATTTTCACTTAACATTACCAAAACATAAGCAGTATGCTCAGATATCTTACCATCAGCTAGTGCTGTTGAGATCTAATCCTCAATGCTTTTGAAGTATGTGAAAATACTTTTAGAATATTTTCTGTGACAATCAACGGTCCCTGAACGTGACTACAATACCCATGTTTATATTTTTTTCAGATACTCCATAAAGAACAACCGCAATACGTGTATGAAACTTGAAAAGTTTACCATCGTCATCATATTCAGTCTGCTAGAACCCTAGCCTTTAGGAAACTATTAAATTAAACAAGTGTAGCTCAGCTGTTCAGCCTTATATCTCTGACACTGTTATTCATGTGTTAAACTGTAACAAGATTCTATCTAAAGCACTTATTAGTCATACTTGTAACAGAGAAGTGGAAACATCCAACTGACTGTCATCTGACCCCAGGTCCACACTGACACACCAGCCAACCCTTGAGTCATACTTCCTACAGTTATATCCAGGGTGTTTATCACCTATCTAAGGTTAGACTAAAAATACATGTTCTATAATGAGTGGTGCAGACAGTATAACGGTATATAATAATAATGAATATTAGAGATAGAGATATCTACAGAATTACCTATGAGCTACCAGAATTAAGGAAGTATGTGTCCCGAGTAAATTAATTTTGTAACTTCTGAACCTTGGCTAAAAACTATTAACATTAATTCACGAAGGACAGATAATCCAAATTCCTTGTCATGAACAATGGCTGACAATGTGTTCATATTACGTCACATTGCTATGAACCTCTTTGCAAACAATAGTTACAATGGAACAAATTTAATGAACTAGCCAATCAAGGTGAAGCAAATATCACAATGATCAGTGAGAATTACTGAAAATAATTTCTCCAATATTCCTGCAAATATTGTTATTATAATACCCTGTAATCTCCCTTTGGCAGTGAATTTAGACAAACTGACATATCAGTTACATATAACTCACATATGCTTACTACCGGTAAATCTTCACCTGATGAAGCGTCAACATGTCTCATGTTTTCCTTCTAAATGTCTATCAATGACTCAAACTGACAAGAGTTGCTTCCCTTTGAATGAGCATCCACAGAAGTACATTGAACTAATTCTAAACTGCTTATCTTGGAATATAAGGTTCCGATTTTCTATAAGAATAAATATACCAGAATAAAATGTCTAATTGTTGGACATAAAACCAGACCTTCGACAGGTGATTATGAAGTTTGAAGCTTCTACAAAATTAGGCTATTTTTATGACAGCATACAGAACAGAGAGGCACCATCACATTGGCTTGTGATTAAGGAATAGTTTGCTGACCAACACATGGAACAGAGAAACACAAAAGTCCAAGATCTAAAAGAAGCTAAACTGGTTAATTTATTCGCCATTTGTTTTATCCATTGCTCCATTAAGAAATTCTGGAGTCATTATTAAAAATATCTCTGCTTTCAGCACCACTGCTCGGTTATACAAAGCTAAATAGGTCGATAGTTTGTGGTTGTATAACGATGATCATTATTTGATTATTGCCAGAGAGATAGACAAGCTGATTTGGCAAACATATATTATCATTAAATCTTTTGCAAAAATATATTTCAGTCTGAGATATTTTTGCAGGCTGCCTGTAACAAAGTTGTTTTCAACTGTGGCGTTGTGAGCAGCAAACACAGCTGTGCGATATGCATCTATATAAGCACAGTCATTCTTTCCATTATGTGTCCTTGAACAGAGTATTTGATGCAGAGTGTGATTTTTTAAATATTCCTTGCCAGACAGGCTTTCTTGTCAAAACTAATTGTGTCTCCTATAATAAGTCAATAACCCTCCAGTGTGACAAAGTTCAAACAGAAAGCGTACCTACATGTTTATGTTTGGGTTATTAAAGTGTAGTTGAATAGCTTGAGAGTGTTTACTTCTGGCTGACTCCAGACTCTGGGCTAAACTGTTAGATAACTTTACCTTGGAAAATTGGGTTCCCAACATCTGAGGTATAGAAGAGGTGAAAGGATAGACAGACTAACATAACATTTGGACATGTCAAACTTTCTTGAGTAAATGACATTGAACATATTTGTCTACTACATATGGTGACACCAGCACTGGGCTTGTTGAAAGACAGCATATACATGTACATAATTATATTAAGGACAGACATTTTGTATTGTTTCTAATTTTTGATTTTGTTGTCTGTAGGTCAAAAATAAAATATATAATAAAATGCATCGTAAAGTTTGATTTGGATCGGTAGGTGATAAAATAAATAAAATATCTTTGCTTGGTTTGGGTCACTGAATAGTATAAACTAAAATTCTGAAAAAATTTGTTTTAGTCATACAAAAATTCTTAGGATTATTTTTAGTGTCAAAGTGATCTTCACTGTCAGTGGTATGAAATAAATCACTTGTCTTTCTGATTTTTTCTTCCATCTGAATTTTCAATGTTTAAGGTCAGCGGATCAATAAGCCAAGCCAAAAATAAAGTGAGGCCTAAATAGCCTAACAACTTTACTGTAAAAGTTTTGTTCCAGTCAATAATCCTAAGGCTCACTTAGTTATAACACAGGCCAGAGAGATGGTGAAAATAGCTGGCAGATAGAACATAACTGACATTTCCCCAAGAGATATTAGATATTCACTATACTGTATGTCACAAACCTGCATCTAAGCATAGCTTGATATTTGTTTTACGTAATATGTTGTTTAGATGAGCAAGTAGTCAGAAAATTCTAAACCTATTATTAGTTTTGTTGCCTGGTAACATGACTTGAGTGGTTTATTGGTCAGGCCATGCCTCATACAAATCAGGGTCAGAGGACCACTTATCTCAGAAATGGAGGGACATCTTAAATGCAGATGGATCTGTTGATTGTGGTAATATGCAGTGTGATTTCAGCATCCCTTGCCCACAGTCTGGCATGTAGTTGTTGTTATTATTATTATGTTGTATTTTTTCACAGGTCAGTTCTGACTGACTTGCAATCTGAAGCATTGTACAATCATTCAAAGTTCTGCAGATTAACATACTGTAATCTAATTATGCTAGAATTACCATTATTTACAGAGCTGAGTAGAAAAATACATTGCCAACTACAAGTGCGTAGTGTAAAATGTCAATTCGTTGTATACCGCTCCAGGATCCTTGAGAGCCAATCACAAGACCTGACACAACATACACAAAGGAAGCAGCGAGTCCGGCGACGTTCCACGTTGTATAGGACACTGCGATGATTGTTAACATGGCGAACCCACTACAAGCCTCATTCACCAGAGAACGCTGACTTTCATCGAGCAGCTTATTGGTAAAAATCACGCCCAGTGAAAACATGAAGTTCAGATTCATTAAATACGGCATAACATATTTACAGAATCCAACAGCCACCAATGGCATGCCAGCGATTCTTGCAAACCAAGAGAGATACTTGTGAACATTCGTGATGGTTCCTCCTGGAGCTCTGGACGAAAATCTGGCAACACCTGCAGCAGCAGCAAATCCCTGGATCATGAATCCCAGAGCTGCGAACATGTTCTGTACAAGCAGATACTTGACCAACCAGAAGACAGACAGTGCCAACACCATGTCTGACACGGCTGTACTCATCATACGGGCCATCGTGGACGTCAAGGTACAACGTTTCCTTCTAAATCTGAAAATGACAAGAAATATACCAGAGTCTGAACAGTACTGTACAAAAACTGTAAGGGATACTGCGTTCTATGAATACTCCTAACAAAAATATAAGAAACAAAAATTATTTTTATGTCTAACTTATTCATCAACATTGTTGAATATTCACAAAACATATAGCCAGACAGTCGGAAAAAAGTTACCTGCCCAGTTAGAAAGTTGCCAGTCCAAATTTTGTAAACTGAACGGACAAACTCTTTGCAAATGATAATAAAATCACAGTCAGTTAAATGGTTTGGCTGCCTCACAAGCGTACGACGCACTGTTGTGAAGTATGTTTCAAAGCTTCATGCATTTTTCTAAACGTTATAGCATTGGCTACAGTAAGATTTCGCAAATGAGTCAAATGGATGTATTTGTAGATCATCATGTCAGGTAATAGGAGTCTCTTGGAAGTCAAAATCACTACCAATTGAACCCGGCATAGCTAAGGGAGGCAATTCTGCACTCAAAGATGTGGTGCCCAAGACCACTCCTTGCATTCAAGATTATTGCAGTTATATAGCAATGTGCATGCACGTGTGTGTGCGTGTCTGCTTGTACTAGTCCAGACTAATCCCGGTCTTTGAGTGCTAGTAGATGGAGATACCATGCCACAGTTTAACATGGTAGTCAGTAGGGCTTGGATGAGTCCAAATTTACTACCTGAGGTACCCGATCCCCAATTACCCGACCCTACCCGGGTACCCACTGTAGGTCTCAAGAGTTGGGAACAAAATGTCTGATTGGGAATTGTTTTACTGCAGCCCTGGTCCAAACTATTAATAAACATGTTTCAAACCATCAGATCATGCATACACTGAAGCTCAAACATATACAAGTCAAATGGAATGTGTACATTGTCAGAAAGAAATGCAAACATTAATGAATGACTTTTAGTGTAACTACTGAGTTATAGTGAGTTTTTGGCATATATATCATAACAATATATCACTTGACTAACCACAGGTCCGGATAGTACTGTGGTTACCCGGGTCCTAGTCAGGACCCACCCGACCCAAGTTACCCGTAGTCAGTATACTGATTCTGAACCAACCAGTCCTTATGTGTTTTTACAAGTATTAAAAGTGTCTCATAGGTCAAATAAGTCAGAAGGTTGTACATTCCAGTCATCAATTATTGATATATTATATACACTATGCACAACTAGTGACAAATGTTAATAAACAGTTGTCTCTGTGTGTTTATCATGTCATCACAGATGGGTGTTACAGCATAGCCAGGCAGTCATGAAGCATGAGTTCACACATACCTATTTGATTAAACAGCTTACCAACTAATCCTTTTGATATGGGTCTGCATCAGGATTAGTGAGAGCCGATTACTGATGACAAATTGAAATTTGATCAATTATCCTACAAATTAACTTGGAATACGTACACACTATAACTGAGTATAGCCACACAAATCATAAAAAAACCACAATTCCCATTAAGTTCGCTTCATAATGATGAGAACCTGGGATATTTTCAATTGAACCAAACAGTAAATCATGCAGACAACAAATGCTAAAACACTTTGTGACTTACTGTGATTGGTTCCATTGAAAATGTGCCAGGTTCTTATTATTACAATGCCAACTTTATGGGGATCAAATTGTGTCTTGGTTTGTCACTTGTCTGGCTATTTCTTTTTAAGGTATTTACATATTTCATAGTAGTTTTTCTTTTGTAGGCCTGGTACAGTCAGGTCCTCACTGTATAAGTCTCTGATTTAATAGAAAACTCATAAGAAGAGTGAATTGTTTCATAGGCATTACTTAGAAGTTGACGGATGACAAAATGGACACATTTTATGGATAACAATTACTGTAAAGGCGACGTTTCGGTATAGATCCTTATACCATTGACAATCAAGACAACCGTATAAGGATCTATACCGAAACGTCGCCTCTACAGTAATTTTAAAAGTTGTTATCCATAAATTGTGTCTACTTTGTCATAAGAAGTGACAGTCAGTTCTAAAATGTCCTTATTCATAAGTCATTAACAAATGATTAGAAAATGATCTGATTAAATGACGAAACCTAAATAAAATGAAAAGTAAAATGAACATCTTGGCACTTCGACACCAAAAAGGTTTTATCTACAACAGGATACATCTGATCGAAAACAGGGCAGTATTACCAGTTTCTCGACACACTGTGGTGTGATATATATACATTTTACACGTGTGTGCTATTTACAGACTTTGAGATCAATACATGTGTATTTTACATTGTAACACCATGCGAATGGAATCAATTACTGAGCAATACACGTCCAATACCTGTGGTAAACAACTTTATCTGCTTACCGGTGACTTGCAGTTGTATATTTCTTTCCGTCAGTCAGCAGCACGCTTCGTCACTGGCCAATCACAATGCACTTGTATCAAACCGGATTGTATTGTGATTATTTCAGCACGTGGATTTAAGCGCCATTGGATCAAACTGGTTTTTACTACACGGGCGCTGATTGGACTGAGTGACGGCTCTCTATCAATTAACCAATCAGATCGCGATATACAGCAACTGGTGCTTTACCGGCTTTAGCTCCACGAAAGAGTGGTTGAGTAACAAAGAGGGCGCCACTGCGAAAGCAGATGACATTTTGCTTGGATGTCAAGAGAAAGTTGTAAAGGAAATTAGGCGACAGTGGTCTATGTTATACTTTGACAGATACTTCGAAAGAAATCGTCTTACGGTTTTGGAGAGACCAAGCGGAGTGTTACAGTCGATGGGAAGATCACTGTCATATCTTAAAAGTTGACGTGTTTATTTCTCTCGGTTGCATTTCCTCGTTTGGGCCACTGCGACAGCAGCTGTGCAGATCATGTGAGCGCTCTGGACGTCGGCGCGTGGTTGGATCGATTTTCATTCAAAGGAATATCCCTTCTACCGTTGAGATGTTGCGCCTCTTCAAGAGAATATAGTAGCATCTCCGGTTGTGTGTGCATTGTTTGAGGAATCTTTGGCGCAGAGGAAAGCTTAGAGCCATGTGACCGTTTTGGCGGTGCCAAGATTTTGGAATTCTTTTGTGATTGTGGATTGTTTGTATATTGTTGGAGTTGTGTTGATGAAATTTGAGAAAGGGGCTACGGACCAACTCGCACAATGAATTCAAAGGTCACAAAGACAGTTTGTTACTCCTTGTTTAGGATTCTGTTACCATTAACCCTTTTAGGAGGTAAGTGAAACTCGTACTATTTTTACCCGCATTGATTGTTTATTAATAGCAGTTAGTTAATAATGCGCTGTAAACAATTCATCATACAGATTTGATTTTGTGTCGTATTTTAATGATACATTTTGACACATTCAAGTTATATTTGATAGCATACATGTTTTAAGAGGATTAATTGGACCATCTGGTTTTTATGAAAAAGTAAGTTTACAGTAACTTGACTTCAATCACATTGGGTTGTGTAATGTAAGAATGCTGTTTAATTAATTCAACATTTTAACTTACAAAATATCAGAATCAGTGTAAATAGGAAAACAAGTCAACAATGCTCATGCAGTCGGAGCAGATTTATTGATTGGTTGAGCATGTTGAGACAGTAAGAAACGAATGTCAAAGAAATTTCTGTTATCATTGTTATGACTGATTGTCCAATGGGTTTAAGTCAGTGATTATTCGCAATAACTTCATATGTTTAATTTTAAATTTGGGCCATTTTAGAAAAAGAGCTGAATAAAAAGAGTTTCATGTCAACAATTTCAAATGAATTTCAACAATGTAACCAAGGATTAGTCAGTAGCCATGACATCTGTTTCATCAAGTCATGATTTATGTACCAGCAATTCCTATTTGAAAACCAGTGCTCCAAGTTCCAGAATTGCCAACACAGCCAAACTTGTATGACATTTCAGCTGTTAAACCAATCTAGTATGTGCTCAGTGGCAAGTGAAATGTTCTTCACAAGTGTCGGGTCACAGAGTGCATTGCTGCTGCGAATGGGGACATTAGACATCTGGGCTTATGTTTTTTCTCTATGGGTAATTTATAGTTGTGTATGAAAGTTATATATGGTGTGCTATATTGGCCTAGTTAAAATTATGTGCAGACCATTTGAAAAGATCACACAGAATGTTTTGGTAGTATTCTAGCGGTCTGCCAAATGTTTTAAAAACTACTACCGAACATGGTGTTGAAGTTCATTTTCAGTAAATTTTAGAGATTAAAAACTGAGCTTACTAGACTGAATAGAATTTTATGAGACTTGGGATTCGGACAAGCGGCTATAGTCGCAGACTGGTGTAGTAGCACATTAAACTAAACATTGTTGAAATATAATGTTTCCATTGTTGACTTTGGCTTGTGTAAGGGGTGAAACAGAACAGGACAAAAGTATAAGATTGATGACAAGTGTGCTACCTAACCCCTAACCTGCTCAGCGGTATGTGGCGACTGTAGATGTAGACTATAATGTGTGCCATGTTTGACTGCAGCTGCGGTGCTGCGTTACAACGCCCTGTCGTTCCTGTACGCTGTGTTCCTGCTGATCACACCTCTACTCAGCTATCCCAGTGTCAGCTCTATCAAAGGTGAGAACACATACATAACACTGTCTTGTAACACTGTCACAGTCTTGAAACTTCAACGGACCAGGAGCTGACTTCTGGTCCATAGAGACAATACAATCAGGCAACTCTGGGTCCTATAGTGACAATACAAACAGGCATCTCCAGCTCCTATAGTGACAGTACAATCAGGCAACTCCAGGTCCTATAGTGACAATACAATCAGGCAACTTCAGGTCCTATGGTGACAATACAAACAGGCATCTCCAGCTCCTAGAGTGACAATACAATCAGGCAACTTCAGGTCCTATGGTGATAACACAATCAGGCAACTCCAGGTCCTATGGTGACAATACAATCAGGCAACTCATATAGTGACAATACAATCAGGCAACTCTAGGTCCTATAGTGACAAAACATTCGGGCAACTCCAGGTCCTATAGTGACAATACAATCAGTCAACTCCAGGTCCTATAGTGACAATACAATCAGGCAACTCCAGGTCCTATGGTGATAATACAATCAGGTAACTCATATAGTGACAACACAATCAGGCAACTCCAGGTCCTATAGTGACAATACAATCAGGCAACTCCAGGTCCTATAGTGACAATACAATCAGGCAACTCCAGGTCCTATAGTGACAATACAATCAGGCAACTCCAGGTACTAAAGTGACAATACGATCAGGCAACTCCAGGTCCAAAAGTGACAATACAATCAGGCAACTCCAGGTCCTATGGTGACAATACATCAGGCAACTCCAGGTCCTATAGTGACAATACAATCAGGCAACTCCAGGTCCTATAGTGACAATACAAACAGGCAACTCCAGGTCCTATAGTGACAATACAATCAGGCAACTCCAGGTCCTATAGTGACAATACAATCAGGCAACTCCAGGTACTAAAGTGACAATACGATCAGGCAACTCCAGGTCCCAAAGTGACAATACAATCAGGCAACTCCAGGTCCTATGGTGACAATACAATCAGGCAACTCATATAGTGACAATGCAATCAGGCAACTCCAGGTCCTAAAGTGACAATACAATCAGGTAACTCCAGGTCCTAAAGTGACAATACAATCAGGCAACTCCAGGTCCTAAAGTGACAATACAATCAGGCAACTCCAGGTCCTATGGTGATAATACAATCAGGCAACTCATATAGTGACAATACAATCAGGCAACTCCAGGTCTTATAGTGACAATGCAATCAGGCAACTCCAGGTCCTAAAGTGACAATACAATCAGGTAACTCCAGGTCCTAAAGTGACAATACAATCAGGCAACTCCAGGTCCTAAAGTGACAATACAATCAGGCAACTCCAGGTCCTAAAGTGACAATACAATCAGGCAACTCCAGGTCCTAAAGTGACAATACAATCAGGCAACTCCAGGTCCTATGGTGACAATACATCAGGCAACTCATGTAGTGACAATACAATCAGGCAACTCCAGGTCCTATGGTGACAACACAATCAGGCAACTCCATTATTAATGTTTCAAACACTTTTCCTGCTTCAACCCAAGTGGTCCTGCTTCTGTCTTGGGTCTGTATGCATGGTGATTAAGATCAGCAGATTGTGCTGCTGCATTTGTTTTTTCCTGTGACTGTAAACTGTAAAATTGTGTAAGATCAATACCAGCTGCTCACAAACTGCAGGTCTACTTACAGAATCAGTAGATTTGTTACGCTTGATACTGTCTGATCCACTGGCTGCAGTGCTTGATGCTTCCTCATGTATAGCCTGGGTCACTAAGAACTTTTGAGTAATATTTTGAGTATTGATTCAATAATTACCAGAAATGATGTCCTATTATACTTTGATGAATAGCCATGATAGTACATGTTTTACATTTGAATGGAGGTTTAACCACCATTTACATGCTTATTTCCAAGGATGCATAAGAAGGAAATCATCTTGTTCAAATAGAGAGCACTTATGAAAGCTGGAAAGACCTCCAACTAGATGTCAAGCTTTGAGATATGTGGCTATTCAGGATAAACGTGTGATACATGTGACCCATTACTTACAGGGTGAAGTACCCTTTCAACATTAACTACGGTTTGTTTTAGTGATAATTATGACTTTGAACAGGACGTTCAGATGATGTTGGTACCTTAAACTTACATATAACTTATAAATTCTCTTAATACACTATACATTTCTCTCCTCTAAAAGTGTTTTTGCTGTTGCTGATTGTGGACTTGCTTTTTCATAGTCTTCATTGGTTTTGGTTTCATAAAATACATATATACCACACTCATAATGCAGGGGGGCACGGGTGGCCCAGTCGTCTAAGGTGCCGCGATTCGCTGTGCAGAGTTGCGTTCCTTGGGCACGCAAGAAACCTATGATTGTGGGTTCGAATCCCGGTTCGCCCCGATTATGTTTCTAGGTTTGTCAGCACCATACCCATGCTCGTGGGTTTCACCGAAGTGGTAAACGTCTGAGACCTGCATCAATTCGGGCTTTCCTCCCACATTAAGATGACATGCCGCGATATACCGTATTCGACGTAATAAGCGCCCCGCTCTAATACGCGCCCACGGTGATATTTGCGAATATATTGCCATTATTGGCTAGTGAACAATCCCAATTAGCACCCGTTCTGATTGATCAATGTTCACAAGACTTATTTATTCGCGTATGATACGCACTCGTGTGTTATATGCAACCTTAATTATGGGCAATTAAATTCTGGGAAAATATATCTGTCGTACATGAACATGAAATTTATCTTTCAACTCTGTTTTTTTTTCCCACCAAAATAATATTTTAATAAGAGCCCCCTATTTCTAATTTTGAGAGCGCTCTGGGCGCTTATTACATCGAATACGGTAACTGGAATACTGTTAAAAGCGGCGTTAAACCAACACACTCACTCGCTCACTCATAATGCAGGACTATCAGTCCTTGGACCCAGCATAAATATTATGGACATACGTGTGATTACACATAACCTTGCAATTGCGAAATGTGACGCCTGTTAGAATAGTAACACAAAGCACATTTAGCACAAATTTTTTATGATCTTTTCCCTTGAATGCAAGAATAAATATCATAATTGGGAAAATGTTGATTGAGTAATGATTTGAGGTTGTATTCAAAGAAAAAACAATATATGAGAAAATTAAAATTGTTCTCAGACACCAGGGTGTCCAGAGAAACCAGGCGTCATGGAAGTGTTTAACTTAACCATGTTAACATCAGAAATAAATAAAATATTTGAGACACACATATCCTTCCTTATTACACAGGGAAAAAGGAAGCTACTGTTAGCTGCTAAGAGTCACTACTTTAAAACCAACTAATATGATTTTACTCGATACAGATGGCGTGAGGATATTTTATTGATTTTTATCAACTTTTTATAGGACACTCTTCTTTATGTTATGACTACCGGTAAATTAGAAAACTATCTTTAGGTCAGTTTGGATGACAGTCAGTAAATGTCCTAGAAAATAAACCAATCTGACTATACTATATAGATATGGCATTGCTAAGAAAAAAACAACAGCAAAATCAATTTTGATAATCATAAAAAGACAAGGAGTATAAACAATGGGTTGCATCTGTGTTTTATGGGCTGTGCGCATGGGCAGAAGGTCCATTCATCTCTTCATTGACTTGCTTTGATCCTTTGTACGCCAGACACTAAGGCAGATCGCATGAGAGCAGGTCATACAAGCAGGTGCTTCCCCAGCAGATGGTTCATCCATCTCTACTGGACACTGCCATTCACAGACAGACTGTAACAGCCCACATGTGTTCCAGTGTGGACACCTCTCAGACAGCCTTGACCTTTGCATGCACTTAAAACATGCCCTCTGGCCTGTGGCTTTCAAGCCATATGTTCCAACTTTTGTATGCTGCCCAGTTAAACTCATGGCATGGCAGATACGAGAACCAGCTTGTTTTAAAATGGCTGTATGATTCAATATTTGTGTATTGTGACTGAAATGCCAAAATTAGAGCCCTGCAGAGTTTGTTTCTGTTTAGGTTTGTAGAATTGAAAAAACAAGCACAGTTTTCAGTGGCTATAAATATTGACATGTTTACTCTTTCAATAATACATTGTGATATTTTGTGTTGAAAGTAGCAGGTGCTCATTCTCAAAGGCTGAGAATGATGTCACATTCCTGAGATGAACATTCTCGTGTCTAATGCTAGATGCAGAGGCATTCTTTTGTCTTGAAGGGTTCTTGTGAACATATTGTAATGCACCTAACAGAAAGTTCCTGAGTGAATCTCTGTTACCAAATGTCCATTTTCTTTAAAGTATGAGTCTGGTGTCTTACATTTTAAGTATGATATAACGTACAAAGTGTGGTTGTAGTTTGTTTTTTACGAAAAGGGGTGGTTTTGTGATCACAACTTAATATCCAAGTGCTAGTCCAATGTTCAAAGCAATTTGTATATCATAGTTGTGTTAAGGGCTGGAATGAGTCCAAATTTACAACCCAGGTACACAACCCCCTATCTAAATACACTAAAAACTATTTAGATACACAATAAAACATTCTGATTATGCTGAAGTTGAATGAAGCTTTATCTTTATAAGGGGAGACCTGTGGGTCCCCAGGTCCAACTCAGGACCCACCCGACCCAAGTACCCAAGTTACTCATCCCAGCCCTAGATGAGTTATATGTGGTGATGTAATGTACATGCCCAATCATATATCCAACTTCCAAATGTATCTATAGAATTTAGTATGAATCACAAGGAGGAGGATAGGATGCACATCCGTGCACACTCACCCTCCTCCCGCTCTGGTTCAGCATCCACTTTCAGCTGCATTCTAATGCAATTGCACACTGAGCCAAACATGCTGAAATAATTTCAGTTTTATCATACACATTATCACACCACAGGAACCTTACCAGGCACCAACTATGCAGGACATTTTGCTCTATCACCTGTGTAGTAATGTGCATGTGACATGTATAGAAAACACCGTCTATGAAACAGTCAGGGTTTGGCATGAACACCGGCACCAGAGCAGTTTTGGGATGAA